CGTTGTTTCCTGTAACATTGAAAGGAGTTCTTAAATGTTATTTACAAACAACAAGGCGCATGAATCTAGTACCCAAAATGTTTTGCACTATTTTGTATTTTAACTGCAAAAGTTTATTAATAATTGTAAGTTTCGAAATAAAGGTAGATATTTGATAATTCTTATGTTTAAAAAGGGCTGTCTAACTTCCCAGATTATAGTCCGACCTATGTGCGAGTCAACAGTAAATCATCAATTATTAAGCCATAAAATAGGGGTCTGACCTATACAGTGGGGTGACCCATCCGCGAGTGTGTATGGTAGAGTTTCTTGACATCTTGTTCCTTTCAAGTGGGATTTGATTTTCCAAGAGGAAAAATACGCAAGTGGGTAATATCTGGCGAATATGATAGTTGTCAAAACTGAAGAATGTTGTACTTAGCCAAAACTGCTGCACAAACCATGATCACTGATGCAAACTATGTGGTGTGGTGAGACTTTCTTTACAAGAACGGCTATAAACAATGGAAGAGCAATGAGCAAGACCATTATAAATTATTATATAAGCCTGACAGTGTTAAAGGTCAATATGTGTCAAGCTGCTTCAATTTAGCGCTGTTACCAGAGCAACAGTTCCACTACTTTTCCTCAGGCCTTCAATAAATATATTTATTTTTATTATCTATTTATTATTTTTTATTTTTATTACTTTAATATTTATTTTATTATTTTTAGTGAATACCTATATTTGAGTAGACACTCCATTTATATAGTAAACATTATATTTATTTATTTTCATCTCGCAGTCTGAATATTGAAGACATTTTCTTTACATCCGCCATTTTCATTACCATGTTCCTGATGTTTGTTCTTTGCTTGCCTCATTTTCTATTATGGCGGTTTTTACATCCGCCATTTTCATTACTATGTTCCTGATGTTTGTTCTTTGCTTGCCTCATTTTCTATCATGTCTATTTTTACATCTGCCATTTTCATTACCATGTTCCTGATGTTTGTTCTTTGCTTGCTTAATTTTCTATTATGGCTGTTTTTACATCCGCCATTTTCATTACCATGTTCCTGATGTTTGTTCTTTGCTTGCCTCATTTTTCTATTATGGCTTTTTTTATTTTTTCATCCTGATGTTTGTTTCCATTTTCATTTTCATGTTCCCGCCATTTTCATTATGTTTGATGTTTCTTTGCTTGCTTAATTTTCTATCATGTCTATTTTTTACATCTGCCATTTTCATTACCATGTTCCTGATGTTTGTTCTTTGCTTACCTCATTTTCTATTATGGTTATTTTTACATCCGCCATTTTCATTACCATGTTCCTGATGTTTGTTCTTTGCTTGCTTAATTTTCTATTATGGCTGTTTTTACATCCGCCATTTTCATTACCATGTTCCTGATGTTTGTTCCTTGCTTGCCTCATTTTCTGTTATGGTTATTTTTACATCCGCCATTTTCATTACCATGTTCCTGATGTTTGTTCTTTGCTTGCCTCATTTTCTATCATGTCTATTTTTACATCTGCCATTTTCATTACCATGTTCCTGATGTTTGTTCTTTGCTTACCTCATTTTCTATTATGGTTATTTTTACATCCGCCATTTTCGTTACCATGTTCCTGATGTTTGTTCTTTGCTTGCTTAATTTTCTATTATGGCTGTTTTTACATCCGCCATTTTCATTACCATGTTCCTGATGTTTGTTCTTTGCTTGCCTCATTTTCTATTATGGTTATTTTTACATCCGCCATTTTCATTGCCATGTTCCTGATGTTTGTTCCTTGCTTGCCTCATTTTCTATTATGGTTATTTTTACATCCGCCATTTTCGTTACCATGTTCCTGATGTTTGTTCTTTGCTTGCTTAATTTTCTATCATGTCTATTTTTACATCTGCCATTTTCATTACCATGTTCCTGATGTTTGTTCTTTGCTTACCTCATTTTCTATTATGGTTATTTTTACATCCGCCATTTTCATTACCATGTTCCTGATGTTTGTTCTTTGCTTGCCTCATTTTTTATTAGGGCTGTTTTTACATCCGCTATTTTCATTACCATGTTCCTGATGTTTGTTCTTTGCTTGCCTCATTCTCTCTTATGGCTATTTTTACTTTCGCCATTTTCATTACCATGTTCCTGATGTTTGTTCTTCGAAATGTCACTATGAAAAATGTGTATCTTATGTAGGGCAATTGAGCTTTACTTTGTTAAGCGTTTTCAAAAAGGAATCAGCATTTCAGGTTCAAACAGAGGATTTGGGAATGGGAATATCTTGTGGAAGTACAGGCGGTATAATGGATAGTGGCTCGGAATGTGAAATCAGTGAACTGAATTTGAATTGCCGTCAAGTTCACTACATCCACTTACACACAAATGCTCTTAGGAATGGCATTAATCCATCTCTTCCCCCAGCCATGGGTTAAATAGTATTTCTTTTTATTTGGAGACGTCATTGTTTTAAAAATTGTCAATGCAATATCTACTTGCAAACCAAAAAATTATTCTTAGAATACGAAGATATGTTTTAGATTTTAAATAATAGGTAAAGTGTTGATAACCCGCAAAAAACAAACCAATTGAGAAATCAATCTTTCCTTATGAGAAGAAACGACATTGGCTTCATGTTTTATATGCTACACCAGATTCCTTTCACTGATTTATCGCTAATGGTATAACATGTACCTGCACATTGTCTCCTGCTCAAGAATGAACACTTCATCAAGGTTGCATCTTAAATAAGTTGAAGTTGAAAAATGTGCCAGAAAGTTTTTGATCAGACCAGGGAGGTCTTGAAACAACCTGATGGTCATTTGATTGGATTTTCGGAAGTGAGCATAGTCAGCATCTTATATATATATATATATTTCCCTTTTCCTCCATTCTCCCTAATCTTTACCCTTTCTGCCATGGGTCCTTACCTATAACTACAGAATGAACTCTTCCTAACACTATGTATACTACGCCTCTCAAGAGAGGGACGAATCGAGCCGAGCTTCTCGGCTTGACGGTCGCACTTTCTGCCTCGGAGCAGAAAGGAACCCGGACGAGGTTCCGCCGAAGGGCAGAATCTCGTTCGGGGAGAAATGACCAACCCGATCTCGTTTATACGGGTTATACGGGCATCTTTTGGCCGAGCCTACGGGCTCGGGAAACCCACGTAAAAACTCGGCCTTGTGCCACATGCAACCCTCGTGGGGGGCTAGATAACGAATCAAGCCGAGCTTCTCGACTTGACGGTCGAACTCCCTGCCTCTGAGCAGAGAAGAACCCGGACGAGGCTCCGCCGAAGGGCAGAGTTTCGTTCGGGGAGGTTGACCAACCCGATCCCGTTTATACGGGTTCTAGGGGCATTTTTTGGCCGAGCCTACGGGCTCGGGAAACCCACGTTAAACTAGGCTTTGTGCCACATGCAACCCTTGTGGTGGGGGTGGCTATATACCGAATCGAGTCGAGCCGATAGTAGTTCACTCCAAACCAGACTGACTGTCATACTAACACCTTCCACATCTTGTATTATTATTTCGTGTAATATACCTTCGTTATTTCTACTCTTGTGTTCGTGTTGTTCTTCCTTGGTCCTAACCTGGACCATAAGACTTTGAAAGTCATTTATTCTTTAATCTGCCATTTAAGTGCCCAATTACTTATCGATATTGCAAGTTAAAACATCCAGGATAACATTTCTGAAATATGCTGTTTTCGATTAGACAAACCTGTAAATATTCTCTAGACCTCTTCTATAGACACTCCCCATTTCACTTACCTTTTCTCTGTCGTGCTCTAATGCCATTTCCCTTCAGGACGATCATGGCTCTCTACAGACTCCTTTTTAGTTATTATCTTTAAATTGCCATGGAATGTTTACACGTTGTCTTTTCCACAGTTTTGAATTCAGAGTTGTCCTTTCTGTAGACTTGCTGTAGGGGTAGAGAAGAGATGTATTCATACCTTTCTCAAGGGCATGTGTTTAATCGTCTGAGAGAACACATTTTGCCTTCCATCAGCATGGCTGATGCTAACCTCCAGGTGAGTGAATTATTATGCCTCCGTCAGACTAACATCTTCTACTGACATGAAGTGGAAAGATTTTATTGAATCAATTGATAGGTCTCCTACAAAAGAATTTGGTTTGCTGTCTTGTGTTAGATAATTTTTCTGACAGAATCTTACATTTCTAAAGGGTGATTCATTAAGATGGATTATATATAAGGCTGTTTCATTAAGACGGATCAAAGTCAGCAGTAAATAAATCACTGTTAATGGTAAAAAATTATTTATTTATCTATTGGATCAGGTTATTTAAGTCATGGCAATTATGCGTGAAAAATAATATTGCCCAAATGTCCACCAAATCTAAAAGGAAAAATGCTTAAAATTAATTTACATTTAAAATCAGTCCAAGTTATTGGAACACCCTTTATAAGTCTACCATTCAGCCATGCATTGAATATTGCTGCCTCATCTGGTCTGATGCTTCTGCTACATTTTCTTGATAAAATTTAACGAATCTGCAATGATATTTGTCCTAACCTGTCATCTCAGCTTCAGTCTCTTTTTCACTGCTGTAACATAACCTTCTTTCACCATACATATCTCGTTTAATTACAGTTAAATGACTGTCAATTTTGCACCACCATAGCATAACTTCTCTATGCTCTTTCTATAAATATTTTCATGGAAATTGTTCTTATAAACTTTTCTCTGCGACACCTAGTCTTTTTAAATTTAAGTGTAGTACTAGATTAATGACAAGGTCTCATCATTTTACAGTCAAAATGGCCAGATGTAACCGTAAGTTCTATGCTAACTATTTCTTTTCTCACATGTCTTTCTTGTGAAACTTTCTTCTGGCTTCATGCTTTCCAGTCAACTTTGATCTTCAAAAAATTTAAATGCAATGTCAATCGTTATCTTCTGTCTTTTTAATCCCTCTTCTTTCATTGTTCTCTCTCCTTAATAGTGATTATTTCTTTTTATATTCTCTCACACCCAAGCTTACAGCCATATATCATTAAAACACTGGCTACTATATGATCACCAAAATTAAGCAACATTGAGCCTGGTCAGTACTTAGATGGGAGACCACTTGGGAATATAAGGTGTCCTAACACTGGTTACCAAAGTTAATGTGACGTCAAGCCTGGTCAGAACTTAGATGGGTGACCACTTGGGAATATCATGTGCCCAAACACTGGTTTCCAAAGTTAAGCAGAATCAAGCCTGGTCAGTAGTTAGATGGGTGACCACTTGGGAATATCAGGTGCTCAAACACTGGTTACCAAAGGTAAGCAACATCAAACCTGGTCAGTACTTAGATGGGTGACCACATGGGAATATCAGGGGCTCAAACACTGGTTACCAAAGGTAAGCAACATCGAACCTGGTCAGTACTTAGATGGGTGACCACATGGGAATATCAGGGGCTCAAACACTGGTTACCAAAGGTAAGCAACATCAAACCTGGTCAGTACTTAGATGGGTGACCACATGGGAATATCAGGGGCTCAAACACTGGTTACCAAAGGTAAGCAACATCGAACCTGGTCAGTACTTAGATGGGTGACCACATGGGAATATCATGTGCTCAAATACTGGATAGCAAAGTTAAGCAACTTCAAGACTGGTCAGTACTTGGGAATATCAGTTGCCCAAACACTGGGTACGAAAGTTAAGCAACATTGAACCTGGTCAGTACTTAGATGGGTGACCATTTGAGAATATCAGGTGCTCAAACACTGGTTATGAAAGTTAATCAACTTCAAACCTGGTCAGGACTTAGATGTGTGGATACTTGGGAATATTAGTTGCTTAACTGGTTAACAAAGTTAAGCAATGTCAAACCTAGTCAGTTCTTAGATAAGTGACCACTTGGGAATATCAGATGCTCTAAGCTTGGATTCATGGGTGGTGTAAAGAATCATTGCTTGGAATTGTTAACTCGAAAATACAAACATAAATAAAAGAAAACTTTACCTTGTATTCAGACTTCTCATCAACAATAATTGTGTTTTCAAAATTTAATTTTCATATTTATCATTACTTTATACATGAAATTCAACAAAATATCTAATGCACAGATATAATTTTTTTTACTATAATCTCTTGCCTTGTCAGTCCTCAAAATCCAATTTTCTCCATTAATCCTTAATATATAGTGAACATTTCAGATAACTATACCACGGATTTACTGATCTAAAGGAAGTAATCTGGTTTTTAAAATAAATTTGCATGTGAGGAACACAAAGTATTCATGAAATGTTGTGTTTTACTTAAAGATCATTAGAAAAACTAAAGCACAATGGTTATTAATGTGTAAATTGGAATCGGCAGATTGAGTTCAAATACCAGCTTAATCTGCATGTTTTTTTGTTTTTTTTTTAATTATTTCACCCCAAGCAAAACAATAATGCCACTAAGATGTAAGTGATTACTGAATGTGCTTTGATTTATTCATTCATTTTCTACAGCTTATCAAACCTTTGCAGGTTATGTAAAACCAGAAAATGTTTTTTAGAGTGCAAGAATTTTTGTTTTTGAGATAATAATGATTTAGGTGTACAAGTCTTACTATTAGTTTGGTGCAAAAATAATGACGTAATAATGTCGTTTTTTGACGTTAAAAAATACGTCAAAAAACGACATTATTACGTCATTATTTTTGCACCAACCTAATAATTAACCAATAACTGGAGGGAAAAGAGATGGACTCATAATTTTCCCAAGTGTATTTGTGTGTAAGTGAATATAATAAATTGGATTAGAACTAGGCTTTCCAGTTAACAATTCCAAGCAATGATTCATTACACCACCCATGCATCCATGTTTTTACTCAAGTCATATTATTACATAGTCTCATCAGATTTTCATATGGATGTTGTCCATGGTGCCAAACCTCTTAAGACATATCTAAACTGTCCGCTGTATATAACTTCTGTGAGTCAGTGAAGCCTTTGGGTCTTGGTAAAGACTGTCCTTTCAACATTGTGGATTAGTGATACATAATTAAACGCATAGAAGAGAAACCACATCACTTGAGGACATTCAACAGCAGCAACAACTAAAATGGATATCACATGCAACTTAAAAAGAAATAATGGCATAATGAAGATGTGACATTCGACACTACTTCAAGCAAAAGGTAAGGAAGAAAAGAGCAATAACAGCTACTGGATTTTGAAAAAATTATTTTCTTCAAAAATTGTTTTAAGAGAAATTTTTAAAAAATTTCAGCCACCAGTAGCACCAGCTGCTAAGTCAATGAATGTCAAATGTTTCCTTATAAGGAAACAGCTAATATAACTATATATATATATATATATATATATATATATATATATATATATATATATATATATATATATATATATACAAAACTGATTTGTATCCACAGAAATGAAACATAGATTTAAACAAAATACTCTTGCGGAACTTGCAATTTTCATGCCCCATTCAATTTTAATTGTGTGTACTTAAAATTTATCTTTTAATCGCATTCCAACTTCCCCTCCTCATTTATTATATTGAGTGTGTCTTTGTTTGAAAAAGTGTTGGTCGAAAGGTACCTAAGGTATAGCATGATGTCCATTTTGTTTATATATATATATATATATATATATATATATATATATATATATATATATATATATACTCTGATATAGCCAATTATTGTAAAAGAACTGATATAAAAACAATGATTACTTTTTTCAAGTGTTGTTTTTTTCTGTACTTCTTTGCCCTGCTTGAACTTGCCTAACATGGCAATACCTGCAACAATTTGGTCTTGGCCTCCTTATGATCAAATTTAAATCACAACATAATATAGATCCGAGATCAAAGTGATCTCCATTGATCAGCTGCTGTGTTGGACATCTTGGATGACGAGGGAGGTCTTTTTACTATTACATGTGTATCCACTTAAAATAATAAGGATTAAGCAATTAAATCTGCTGGATTAATAAATAAAGATCCATCACTTCTTTAGAAATTGCTTTGTTTATGTTAGGATAAAAGAAACTGAGCAGAGTCTAAGAACATTTATAAATATCTATGTCATAAATGCAAATGTCAGTGTGTCACTGTGTCACTTTTTCAATTAAAGGGACACAACTCTCTAACTTTCAGTAGCTCATGTTACAGAGTGTTTTCTGTGATTATTTTACTTTTTTTTTTTTCGGCGATTATTTATATTATTTTTTGCAATAATTTTTTGTACAATAACAAATTTTATAAGTTGGAAATAAATCTGAGAATAATCAATATTAATTGCCAAATCCAGTGGCTGGGCAGCTTTTAAGCTAGTATGCATACATGGGTGCATGTAGGTCTTGATATAGTCAACTGATGAAAGAAAGACAAAAAATAATAATAATAATATATATATATATATATAATATATACATATATAATATATATATAATAATAATGATAACAATAATAATAACAATAATATTTATTGTATATTATTAACTCTACCTAGCTCAGTCTAGTTTTACTTATATTTCAGTCTATTCATATCACTTTATCTATCAATCAGTATGTTTTCTTATTTATCTATCTGACATGACCAATGATACACTAAGTAAATGTTTGACTTTTGTATTAGCAAAGAGGACAAATCTCTCTTGCGGCAATACCAATCTGAGTGAAATGCATCATTATTTTCAAAACATGCAAGACGTTCTCACCATAAAAACTGGTATGGTCAGTGCTCCTACCCAACATTTTCTTCTACTAACCTGTCTATTTCTCTCCACAGAATGTGGCTGATGCTCTATCCCAGGCGAGGTCCTGGTTTTGAACTTTTGTTCTTAAGACAGGCATGCCCTATCTATTTTCGAGATTGCATTGAACAGAGTAAAATCTCTTAGAACGGATAGTTTGTTCCGCAGAACTGGATCATTGTCACCTGGAAGAGAAATGTATAGAATTTTGGCATGAATGGATCCTAATGAAACTAGTGGCAAATGTAAAAAGAAATATGGGGGGTAGGTGAAGTCAAAACAAACTGTACAGATAAATTTGCCTTGTATTTTTTCAGGACCTAGGTGATCATGTCTCTCCGCAGCTTCTACATGCAAAAAATAGAAATCACTATCTGAGCAATGAATTCACTCTGATATATATTTCATTAAATGTACTTATCTACAAATTTTAATTAATATCCTTTTAAGAACGTTCATACACAGTGATATGAAAATATCAATGATTTGAATAACACCTTAATTAAGCATTGTATCAATTCACATAATATCAGTAAGTAACATGGGTTTTCTTTGTGCCAGTTTAGTCTGACACCTGATTTTTACCCACATATTGTGACCTTTTTTTCTAAAACTTTGTTTATTTCTTGATTTCTAATGAAAATTTGAGAATCTTCAATATATTTCTGTGAAAGTTTCAATTTCTAACTGAGTCTATAGTCATAGATTAGATACGGAGAAAATATATTTTGACTATTTTGCTTGAAGTTTGCATTTCCTTGATTTTAGATGAAAACTTGAAAATTATACAGTGCATAAGAGAATTGTCGGTCTCTTATATCCGGGTTTCTCTTATATCCGGGTTTCTCTTATATCTGGTTTTCTCTTATATCCGGGTTTGGTCTATTTTATATACATTAACACGGGCTCTAATTTGGGACCGGAGAAAATCTCTCTTATATCCGGGTTTCTCTTATATCCGGGTTTGGTCTATTTTATATACATTAACACAGGCTCTAATTTGGGACCGGAGAAAATCTCTCTTATATCCGGGTTTCTCTTATATCCGGGTTTGGTCTATTTTATATACATTAACACAGGCTCTAATTTGGGACCAGAGAAAATCTCTCTTATATCCGGGTTTCTTTTATATCCGGGTTTGGTCTATTTTATATACATTAACACAGGCTCTAATTTGGGACCAGAGAAAATCTCTCTTATATCCGGGTTTCTCTTATATCCGGGTTTGGTCTATTTTATATACATTAACACAGGCTCTAATTTGGGACCGGAGAAAATCTCTCTTATATCCGGGTTTCTCTTATATCCGGGTTTGGTCTATTTTATATACATTAAAACAGGCTCTAATTTGGGACCGAGAAAAATCTCTCTTATATCCGGGTTT